GTATCATAAGAAATTAACATTTGGTAATTGTAAGGAAATGTTTTAACTTCATTTAACATCTGTACCAGATGTGTTACATTTAATCACTTTTCTTTAAAAAAAAAAGTCTTCGTAACTTTCATGAACCTTCTGTATGGTGCATCTTTTATTGTGCATTTTAGACAATTGATAAGCAATATTCAGTGGCATATGGTCTGAGTCTGACATGCTTTGAAAAGAGTACAGAGTTTTGATAATGAGGATTCTGTGAAAATGGGAAAACCAGCACAACAGATATGCTTTGAGAAAGTATGGGTTTTTAGCATCTTGAAACAATATATCACACTCAAAGGGACAGAATTGGGCTGCACAATCTGTTAGCTCATTCTTGTCCAATCTGGTCTCCTCCTTTCTTTTGGAGCCAGCATTGTCATCAACTCACTGAATTATATTCTGACTGGAATGTATTTCAGGCACAGAGTAATGTATCTACTTAAATGGAATCCTATCTTTCTACAAAAGCTTTTTGAGTATAATAAATTTAAAATATAAGAAAATTCTATTAAGTTAAAGTAAATGGTTCAACAGTTTACATATGTGCCTCCTCCCCCACCACCCAAAAAAGAAAAAAAAAAAAGAAAGACCACTACTTAGAAGAACATAGATCTATATTTCTTTTAGGAACCATATTGAATAATTTGTGAGTTTAACTATCAGATAGTCAAATGTATTTCTGAGGCTCTTTATTGGAAAGATACCTATACATCACAAGTATTTGTTAAACAGAAGTGAAACTATGGAAATAAAACTTGCTCTAGCAAAGTGTTTATTTATTATGGAGGGGGTTTTTTAGTTCTATAGCAGCCTTTCATAACAAGAAGCAATCCTAATGTCCTAATACAGCATTTTATTTAATAAAGAAACTTTTCTTCTCTCTGTCTAAAATTATACTTAATTTATAAATTTAATCATATTTTGAAATTATCCTTAGAGAAATTAAAAAATAGTAACCCAAATATTTGTTATTGGGCTTAATTCTTCTGTGAAACTAGGATTGAGAAAGGCTACTCAATAATATTAAAAATCACTGAATTTATGTTTTGAATTTAAAACATAACAAGTTGCTTAAATGAGCAGTTATATTAAAATTGCATTACCTTATATGAAAGATTAAATATGATAAAATTTGTAAAATGATATGGGTGATATATAATAAATGTTCAGCAAATATCTGTTTTCATGTTTTAACCTTTTAGTATCCTAAGATCCTGAAAAAAAAAATCCTTTAGTATGGTGATTTGTTCAAGTGAAACTTATTTTTAAGCTAGCAACAAAGATGTAAATAATTTAATCTACAAAATTATATCTTCAAATTTATTATATAGGCTGTCTTAGTAGTATCTTGTGCTGAATGATGAACAACTATAAATTTCGCTTTTTTTATGTTCGAATAATTTGGAATTCATCCACAGAAACTATGTAGTAAATGAAGTTGTTTTTGTCTGTGTGTGTGTGATTGTTCTCATGAGGATTTTAAGTCTGCCATTTCGAATTGGCAAATAGTTCTTTTTAATGCATTGATTTATGTGAAAACGGGGCTGGGAAGAGTGAGAAACTGCTAGTCATCCCTGATGTGAAAGGCAGGACATTAATGCCTTACCAGACATCCGGCCATAGGATTCATTCATAGCTTTTCTCTGGTAAATGGTACATTATTTGGGGGGTATGAGTGGCATTGCTATGGTCACTATAAATTATACAAATATATATTTGAGTTACAAAATTGAAAATAAAAAATAATTTCTGAAACTAATTGTCCGAAAAAGAACCTCAGAGACTCATAGTGAACTATTTAACAAGAAATAGCTAATAGTTAATTCTCATAGTGTAACTAGTTAATCCTCTGTATATAAAATTAAACTAAAAATGAACCATAATGAAGAAGGGGATGGGAGAGGGAATAGGAGGTGGGATGGGAGTCAGGGTGGGAGGGAGGGAGGGTATGGGGGAAAGAACCACTGTATTCCTAAAGTTGTACCTATGAAAAATGCATTCATTAAATAAGAGCTTTAAAAATTAAAAAAAAGAAATAGATAACAGACTGTCATTTGTGAATGGCTAAAATATAATTTATGAGACAAGCACCTTTCTTTATAGCATACATTTGGAGGCTAGCGTTTAGGCATAGTGGGTTAAGCTACCACCTGCAATGCAATGCAGGCGATCCATAAGGGCGCTAGCTACTCCACTTCCAATCCAGCTCCTTGCTAGTGGCCTGACAAAAGCAGCGCCAAGATGGCTCAAGTAGTTGGGCACCTGCACCCACATAAGAGACCCAGAAGAAGCTCCTGGCTCCTGGCTTCAGCCTGGCCTAACCCAGGCCCATGCCACCATTTAGGAAGTGAACTAATGAATGGAAGAATCCCTCTCTCTTTTTCTCTCTCTCTCTCTCTCTCTGTCTCTCTAACTCTGCCTTTCAAATAAACAAATATTGAAAATAAATAAATAATAATATATATTTTTAGTCAACTTACATATTCTGTACTAATTTAAAGTAGGTTTACATTAATACATTTCCATATTCCAGCTAACATTTCATAAGGCAAATAATACAGGAATATCAGGTGGCCATACTGTGAATATGAATCAGAATGAGCTGTTTCTACATTGCATTTACTTCAGGGAAAGTCAATAAGCAACATTTCTGATGTCTATGTCATTAAAAAGTGCTTATGGTACTTCTTAAAATTTTTTTCATTTTTAAAAATATTTTAATTAAACATTTTAATGGACATAAAATTGTACATATGTATGATGCACCATGTGATGTTTTGTTACTTTATGCATTAATTACCATAAAGCCATATTTCATATTCTTATTTTATGGATTATTGGTGTAAAACAGTTTGCTGTCAATAAGAAAACTCAAAGTTTTCCTGGCTATTGAAAAATAAAATGAGTAAGAATGAAAGCCGATGGAGTGTTTTATTATATGAATATTTTGGTCTTATGCATTTTTACTAAACTGCAGCAGCCAGCTATAATTTTTCTACCTGGGGATTTTGTACACTACTTAATGGTTTATGCACAGTCAGAAAATAAATGTATTACAAGTATACTTGTTTATAGTATGGGTGGTTAATAGTAGGGAATAAAAAAGATTTGAAGACATTGTCAGTTTTTTATTCTTCTATCTCAGGCATATAAAAATCACATATGTACCTTTTGCTAAATTCCTTCTCCACTAGTGCTTACTGTTGGGATATTGTTGTAAAGCTATAGATGAAAGTAAAATATACCCTTGTTTTAAAGGCTCATGTTTTTTCAAGTCATTTAATATCTACATTATTACCCTCGAAGAGTTGCCCAGAAACTCCGCTTTAAAGTAGAAATCTGTCCTGAAACAGAATGAGGCTGAACTTTCTACTTAGATTTTTACAGGGAGTATATTCTGGAAGAAAAGATTTGCTGCTTGTTGCCCATAAGTTTCTCTTGCAGTGGGACTGTTTTTGTAATCACTCATATGAGTTTCAAAAACCATTGAGACATATGACGGGGTAGTAAACTAATCTAGGGCTAGAAATAAAATCTGCTTAAGATGCAAAAACTAGGATATATAAAAATTCTAAATAAAATAAATTTAATACTTAAAATAACAGAATTATGAGAGTACATTTAAAAGCTCATAGAAAATTATATTAAAGGACAAGCTTATTTTGGCACCAAAATGAAACTCATGAATAGTTTTTTCAAAGCACCTAATTTCCATGAACTTTTAGAATTACCCTTGGTTTTAACCAATGTCACTGGAATAATTGATTAATTATATAGATAAAATAAACTTTTGTTCCTGCCATATTTTCTATATAAAAATAAATTATGAATAATTATTTAAATATAAAAGCTATAAAAATTTGGGAAAACATTAAGTGAATGTGTATTACATGTATTTGGGGAAAAGTTTTCTAAGCAATAGAACAGAAGAGATCAATTTAAAAATTTAGATCCATTAAGTTTTTAAAAATTACAAATAAAATTAAAGTACTAATAACTGGGTAAAAATATCTATAGCATAAGATGGACAAGGGATTGATAGCTTTGAACTATATAGAGCTATCACAAGCCAGTATAGAAAAAAAGGCTACTACATAACGTAAAATATAAACTGGTGATGTATGAGGAAGAGTCAATAAATATGAAAAGTAATTAGCTGAATTACTGATCAAAGAAATGCGAAATACACAAAGGTACACCAGTTTTATTTTTTTTATTTTCTTGTGTTCTTATTAATGTATTTTTGGATTGTTAAAGCAAAATGGGCTCTGAAACATTCTTTAGAAGTCCAAAATGAGTTTGTGATTGCAAATTTGAATCATGCTATTTTCTTTCTTTTTTAAAGAAACTTATTAATCCATTAGATTGTCAGGTTCATAGCAAATTCTTCATGATAACTACAACACAGTTCTCATCAATTCTCATGTTAATGTGATATTAATACAAAGAGACTGATTACATGTATTTGATAGAATTGTAAGAATATAGTGATTCTTGCCTTCCTCCCTCTTCTTCCCTTCCTCCCTTCCTTCCTTCTTTTCTTCCTATTAAATAAATAATTTATTTAATTGAAAGGCAGAGTTACTGAAAGAGAGAAGTGACAAAGAGAAATCAATCTGCCATCTACTAATTCACTCCCTAAATGGCTATAATGGCCAAGGGTGGACCAAGGCTGAAGCCAGGAGCCAGGAGCTTTAGCCAGTATCCTACATGCATGACCCAAGGGCCATCTTCCACTGCTTTTCCAGGCACATTAGCAAGGAGCTGAATTACAAGTGGAGCAGCCGGGACTCAAACTGGCATCCATCGCCACAAGCCAGTTCCAATTAATTTAACTTTAATCCTAAGTGTACATGGGACCTCTATTTTTATATTAGAAATCAAAATTAATCAAATTTGTAAATTTACATAAATATAAAATTTAAAGCTGTTGCGTCTGTATGCTATAATTGTGTTTTTATTTGCAGATGGAGAACATCATTGGAACAGTAAAAGATTCCAACCTGAAGCTGACGCTTGCTTTTGGAATAGGAATGCATCATGCTGGACTGCATGAAAGGGACCGGAAAACAGTAGAGGAGCTATTTGTAAACTGTAAAATTCAGGTAATCTTTTTCTCCTCCCATGAACACAAATTAAAATGTAACCTAAAAGTTGAATTTTACTCTGATATAAAGATATTATCTCTTGTTTTTAGGTGCTTATTGCTACAAGCACATTAGCCTGGGGTGTAAACTTTCCAGCTCATTTAGTCATTATTAAGGGAACAGAATATTATGATGGAAAAACAAGACGCTATGTGGATTTTCCCATTACAGGTAGTTCTTAAATTTTTTAGAGATGTATTAAACTCCTATTTTTATCTTAATAATTTGAATTTACATGGAGTAGATTTTTGAGAATTGTTTGTATTTAAACATTTGATAAGCAAATTATAAAATTTTGGTCTCTGGTGCAAATATTAAACAAAATATTGAACTGGTTTTGTTTACTTTTACCAAGGCAGTTCAATAAATATAAAAATACTGATGCTCTGTCTCTCCCTCTCTCTCTCTCTGTAACTCTACCTCTAAATAAATAATTAAAATCTTTAAAAAGATGACTTGATGAAGCATTTCAGGCATGGAAAGACAAACCACTGTGGCAAAAGGTATCCTACATGAAGGACCTCTGTGAATGAGACCCCAGTGGAAAGAAGTGGTCATTGAAGAAGGATGTACTTTTCTCTGAAGGGAGAAGAGAACTTCCACTTTGCATATGGTCTTCCCTAAATATTGAAGGAGTTTGAGGATTCAAAAAGCTTCCATAGCCTAGGCAGCTCATGTCAAGAGCCTCGGGTGATCACTGACATCATGCATAAGAGTGTTAATTGTTAAATTAACAACAGGAGTTACTTTGCGCTAACTTTCCAGGCAAGAGCCCTGTCTTCAAAGAGTTGTATCATGAGAGTTAAAGTAAAACCAAACTCAAAGATTTACATCATTTAGTGTATTCAGTGGAGGATATTCTTATGTCTCATAAGTTTTAGATAAGCCTAAGTGCCCAACTCCATTGCCTATTTCCTTAGATGCTTCTTGGATTAATAATAAAACTTGTTCCCAAAGAAAAAAAAGTATATTATTGCAAAAATTAGAAGAAAAATAAGAAAGGAAGCAGGAGTAATGGAGGGAGTAAATGAGGGAAGGAGGATAGGGAAGGAAATGTACTAAAAATTATATATATGGGCTGATGCCATGGCTCACTTGACTAATCCTCCGCTTGTGGTCCCAGCACCCTGGGTTCTAGTCCTGGTTGGGACGCCGGATTCTGTCCCGGTTGCTCCTTTTCCAGTCCAGCTCTATGCTGTGGCCCTGGAGTGCAGTGGAGGATGGCCCCAGTCCTTGGGTCCTGCACCCGCATGGGAGACCAGGAGGAAGCACCTGGCTCCTGGCTTCAGATCGGCGTAGCGCGCCAGCCGTAGCAGCCATTTTGGGGGGTGAACCAACAGAAGGAAGACCTTTCTCTCTGTCTGTCTCTCTCACTGTCTAACTCTGCCTGTCAAAAAAAAATTGTATATATGACATACATGAAATTTGTTCAATTTATATAAATTAAAAATGTAAATAAAAAAGATAACTTGATGGTTCCAAATTCCTAAATAGATCAAAGTACAGATTAGTAGCTATGAGGTACTTATTAATAAATTATTATTTAGCATTACTGTGATTAGCTTTAAAAATATTTCTCTAGAAATGATGCTCTTCAAGGACTTCCAAAACCAGAGTCACTGGCACTTGAGTTTATGCATGAATACTCTGTTAACATACTTTAAAACTTGATAAAATCATTTTCAGTAGGTTCTTGAAGGAGGACATAAACAATATAAGTTTCCACTCAGTGAATTCATGTAAAAGCTATATCACTCCTAAATCTTTTTTTTTTCTTAAGATTTATTTATTTTATTGGAGAGGTAGAATTATGGACAGAGAGGGAAGAGACAGCACAAGGTCTTCTCTCTGGTGATTCACTACCCAAATGGCCGCAATGCTCAGAGCTGAGCCTATCTGAAGCCAGGAGCTAGGAGCTTCTTTTGGGTCTCCCACATTGGTGCAGGTGCCCAAACACTTGGACCATCTTCCACTGCTTTCCCAGATCATAAGCAGAGAGCTGGATCAGAAGAGGAGCAGATGGAATACAAACCGGCGCCCATATGGGATGCTGGCGCTGCAGGCAAAGGCGTAGTCTGCTACGCCACATGCCAGCCTCTCACTCCTAAATCTTTAGTTACCTCAGAGATTCCTACCATATAAAACAGAAATAATTTTTATACCATAAATGGGAGGAAGGGGAAGCCAAATAGACTCTTTATTCATGGGAAAAATAAGCATGTGACTGATGAAGATATTTTTCTATGTGTTTTTACTTTTTCTTGTTTAATTAAAATACTAATATCTCTTAAACAGTATTTTTAAGCATTTAACCAAAGAATTCCCTTTTGGGAACTCAATTTGCATCATAATTTCTTGCTTATTTAATTACCAATTTTCTGAATAAATTATATTACTTTAGGGAACTTAATAGTAGCATCAGAGATAGAATGTATATTCTTACAGTATTCTGTTTCCTGCGTTATTTCATCATATTGTAGAAGTATACCTAATTGGTAAATAGGCCTTGTGCTACCACATTGCAGCGTCGATCTTGTTCTGTCTTTTGTAGATGTACTCCAGATGATGGGACGTGCTGGGAGGCCTCAGTTTGATGACCAAGGCAAAGCTGTAATTCTGGTTCATGACATAAAGAAAGATTTTTACAAAAAATTTCTTTATGAACCTTTCCCAGTAGAATCAAGGTAAATTTTACTTAATTAATTTAAATAGATTGATTACATAACAAGTTAATGTTTTTCTTTAATACATTTTATCAGATAAAAAAGTCGGTAGTGCTTGTAATGTAAAAGGATAATTTGATCTGTAACTGAATGTAATTATTACTTTAAGACAGCATTCAATAATAATTCCAATTTTTACAGGGAAGTTTTTAAAAGCAGCCTTGTAGAACACTATTCATTCATATTGAATTTGAAGCCAGATGACCTGGGTTAAACTACGGAGTTTGTCATTTACTTACTTTATGTTGAGCAAGTTATTAAATTCCTCAGTTACTTAGTGTACCTGTCTGTAAAATGGAGATTGTAACAATACCAGCTCTTATATGGAGTATTTACAAGTATCAAATGCCTACTGCTGGCAGTAGTGTATGTGGTAAACTAAGTATTTAACAAAGTGTTAATTTGGTGAGAGATTTTTTTTGTATAGTTAATAAATATGTATCTAAAATAAAGGGGCATGAGATTAATTCAGAATTACCCCATATTTCTTTGTGGATTAGTAACCACTATTCCTTCTATAAAGTTTTCCCTTATTTGCATGTTTTTAAAGATTTATTTATTTATTGGAAAAGTAGAGTCCTAGAGAGAGATCTCCAATATGCTGGTTCACTCCCCAAATGACTGCAACAGCCAGGGCTGAGTTAGTCTGACGCTAGGAGCCAGGAGCTCCATCCGTGTCTCCCATGTAGGTGCAGGGGCCCAAGCATTTGGGCAATCCTCTACTGCCCTCCCAGGTATGTTAACAGGGAGCCAGAAGTGGAGCAGCTGGGACTCAAACCAGCGCCTATGTGGGATGCCTGCACTGCAGGCCACAGCTTTAACCTGCTGAGCCACAGCGCCAGCCCCTTCCCTCATTTTCTGAGCTGAAAATTACCCTTTTCCTCTCAGATTTGTATCATAGTCTTTTCTGTATGCTCTATCTCCTTTACTACAGTCTAATTGCATTGAAGACAGAAGGTGTTTGTGGACTGTACTGCAAATATTAATTGGATTCTTTGTTCTCTTATAACTGCTAAAACTGATTTTCACCTGGAAAATGTAAAAGAATTAAATGTTATTGGATATGGCTAATACTATGCTAAGAGAACTTTTATAACCTTAAATATATATTTTAAAGAATAGAGATGTAAAGTGAGTGATCTAGGTATCCATGTCAAGAATTTGGAAAAAAGTAACGAATTGAACTCAAATGAAGAAGATAGAAGAGTTAATAGCAAGAATTAGTGAACTGAGAATAAACATACATTAGAAAAAAATTAATGCCAAAATTTTGTTCTTTCAAAAACGTGAATCAAATTGATAAATGTTTAAGTTTGAATATCAAGAATGAAAAGATAGGATAATACAGACCTTAAAATGATAACAAGATATTATGAAAGAATTTATGCAAATAATTATTAAAATTTAGATCAAATGATAAAATTTCTTACTAAAAAACAACTGGGGCCAGCGCTGTGGCACAGCAGGTTAACACCCTGGCCTGAAGTGCCGGCATCCCACATCGGTGCCAGTTCTAGTCCCAGCTGCTCCTCTTCTGATCCAGCTCTCTGCTATGGCCTGGGAAAGCAGTAGAAGATGGCCCAATTCCTTGGGCCCCTGCACCTACGTGGGAGACCCAGAAGAAGCTCCTGGCTCCTGGCTTCAGATCAGTGCAGCTCCGACCATTGCGGGCAATTGGGAAGTAAACCAGCGGATAGAAGATCTCTCTCTTTCTCTCTCTCTCTGCCTCTCCTCTCTGTATAACTCTAACTTTCAAATAAATAAATACATCTTTAAAAAAAAGAAAAAATAAAAAACAGCTAAAGTTAGTCCAAAAGAAATAGAAAATCTGAATAGTCTCTTATCTGTCAAAAGAACTGAATATAAAATTTTAAATTTTTCCACGAAGAAAGATGCTTCACCAGTGACTCCTTCATAATTTTTAAAGAGTAACATTTTACATGAGCTCCTTCTAATAGTAGAGAAGGAGAAATATTTGCCAACTTTTGTGAGAGCAGAATAACATGGATATCAAAACCCAACTGAAAAAAGTAGAAGATAGGAATGTAACAAACCTCTGTCTCATGAATAAAGATGTAGAGATCCTAAACAAAACAAAACAATGAAATCTAGTGATGTACAAAATGAGAAATTACGACCAAGTGCAGTTGTCTCCATAAATACAGTGATTTATTATTTGAAAATAATGAATGCAATGCACTGAATTAACAGAAAAAATGAGAAATCATATGATCATTTCATAAATGTAAAAAAATCATTTGATAAAATCTTGCACACATACATTAAAAAAAAAAAAAAACTCTTACCAAGGAGAAGTATAAGACAATGTCCTTACTCTGATAAAGAATATAAGCAAAAAAAATTGTAAACATTAAATTAATTTTGAAGTATTGAAAGCTTTCCATTTGAGATAGAGAATGATATAAGAATGGTGCTCTTACAACTTAAACATTGTGCTAGAGACTGAAGCCACTGTAGTTAAGCCAGTAAAATAAAGAAAGCTCAAGATATCCTTTTAAGCAAGATATGACTAAAACAGCACAATTGGGGAGTTTTTGGGACATTGGTAATGCCTAATCATAGTGTGGATTATACAACTCTGTTTACATTGTGAGAATTAACGTAGTTGATTTATCAGTAAAATTAACTAAAATATTAAATTTTGTACCTTGATATGATAATTATAAATATTTCATCTATTACAGAATATTCCATAATTTATTCACATCTCTGTTAATGTGCATTTAGAGCATTTCCAGTTTCCCCTGTTTACATGTAATGTTGCACTTAACTATTTTGATTTCCTATCCTCACAGGTAAAAATTTCTTTGGCAAGTCATAATGAAAAAGTAAAATTATTGGGTCATAGTGATTTATTCCAACAAATCTTGCCAGATTGCTCTCTCTGCTACTGGTGAATTCAGTGCAACATATCAAATTCATTTTCACCCAACTTACTAGGACCATTTTTTCATGTCCTTTGCAAAAACTGTTTCTAATACCTGCATATTGTTCCACATATCATTATGCATTAACCTTTTCTTCTGTTACACATTGCTTCTTTTTTTTTTTTGTAGTTTACATGAGTAGCTAAAATGAATATTTTATTATGCCAGCCTTTCAACACATACAATCATCTCTGCATACCCCACAACCCTAATGTAATAGTGTCTTCTGTGACTAAGCACTTAATGTTCATGGAGTGAATGAATGAAATATCTTGACTCATTAATCCATCCTATTATCCCTTTCTTTCTGTATTTCCTGTATTCTATCTCAGTATTTATTCATACTTCCCCCAGTTCTCCATGAGTAGTATTTTCTGTACTTTCTGAGGTATCTCTTCTGTTGCCACCCACTTTTGTGATGTCATCATCACCTCCTGAAAATGCTAGCTGCCTCCCTGTCAGGCATATTTTCCATTCACAGTTTATTTCCCCAAAGTGATTAATAGTAATAAGTACCATCTGTTGGATACTTCCATATGATAGATACTAGTGATTGCTTTCAGCAAATTATTACTATTTATTAACTTGAAGTATTATGTAATTACAGTATTTTTCTGATGTTCTCTCTCTGACTAGTCCACTTTATATTTATGTTCAAATGAAAGAGTAAACACACTTTTTAAAGGAAGATAAGAAAATCAATATATAGTATTTGTTAATAATACATATTTTTGAGTTCCTAATACTAAATAATTTACAGATTATATAAATTGTTTTAATATAATTTAATTTCTCTTCATGGAGAAGAGAAATTGAAACCAAATTCCCATCAAATAATTTGGAATGAATTATTTACAAATTATATAAAATTGTACACAAAATATATAAATTATGCAAAACATTTGTTTTATATCCTGGAACATTAAATCTGAATCTTGACTATGTGATATCCATTTAAATGTGCTTTTTTTAATGTTCTTCTGTGTTTCCTGTGCTTTGTTCACTGCATAGCTTATTAGGAGTGCTTTCTGACCATTTAAATGCAGAGATTGCTGGAGGTACAATAACTTCTAAGCAGGATGCACTGGATTACATCACCTGGACTTATTTTTTCCGACGTCTTATCATGAACCCCAGGTAGGTACCAAGCTTCTTTGAAGAGCAGTTATTTACCTTTCTGTTTTACACTGAAAAGAGATAATTTGAAAGTAATAAACTCCAAATCCAGGTCCTTTCATAAAAGTCAGAACTTCGGACATTCTAAGTATATGAATTTCCCCAGAAAATCAGATGATTTCTTTGCTATGATTATATTATATTATATTATATTATATTATATTATATTATATTATATCATATTATATTGGAAGAGTAATAGTTATGTGTATTTACTACTTAATTTACTTACCTTAGAATATCCTCAGGAGTTTGCTCTATATTTGTAAAACATAACCCCTGCAGTCATTAAGAAATACAAAACTACATGTTAGCATCTGCGCTAGGTGTAGTTGGAATTTAGACACTTGTGAAGTTTTAGGGGGAAAAATTGTGAAGCATTTGTACAGGTTAATCAGAGCCCTACAGAGAAAATCAAGTTGGGATATGGTGGAGTATCTTTTACTCCTGTCAGTAGGTTGGATCTTCATTCAGTACCACATGTTTGTCAGATGTCATAGTAAACTCTTAGGCATAAAGATGTAAATCATCCTGCGTCTCAAGGGCTGATCTTTTGGTATGGGAAAAACATGTATGACATTACAGTGTAAATCATGTCATCTAACAGAATCATATCTAAACCTGTGGGTGTGACAACCTTACCAAAGAGATGACACCTCATCCAAATCTCAACTCAGGAACAGGAATAGAAAAGATGGAAGATAACTTCAAGCAGCACAAAGTATTCAATGGAAAAAGTTCCTCAGGGCTTGAAAGAAATGTGTGTTCAGAGAATGTGAAAAAGATTGATGTAGCTAGAGCTTAAAGAATGTGCAGACAAGAAGACTGTCTTGGCCAGAAAGTAGGCCAAGTGCCAGACAAGACAAAAGGCCTCTGTACCGTGCTGAGGAGTTTACGGTGATCTTACTGACTGATGAGCCATTGAAAGTTTTTAAGCGTGGATTAACATCACTAAATTAAGTTTTGTTTCAATGATTAGAACACTACAGTAAGGAGTAAGTTAGATGGGGAGACAATGACAGTCATCCCTCTCTATCTGTAGGGCCTGTCTGTAGGCCTGGTTCCAGGACCACCACAGATACTTGCAGAAGCCCAACTCGCTCATATAAAATGCTATGGTATTTGCATATTACCTGTGCATATCTTCCCATATGCTTTAAACCCTCTGTTGGTTACTTGTAATACTCAACACAATCTAAACACTATTTAAATTAGAAGTTATGTTCTATTGTCAAGGAAAGGATGACAAGGGGACAATTTCTGTACATGTTCAGTACAGACAGTTTTTTTTCAAGTACTTTCCTTCTGTTACTGGTTGAGTTCACACACGGGAAACCCACAGATGAAGAGGACAAACTGCACAGCCGGAAGGCTTGCTAGAGAGCTGTTTTGTTGAGGACTTTGAGAGATAACAAGATGAAATAGAAGCAGATTCAAGAACGAGGGACATTCCTGATGTAAGAGAAATATTAAACCCTTGTTAGGTCTTAAAATAGAGAAATCATGATGAAAAAGTTGTTTATAAATGTTATTAAACCTTGCCTATTGGTACCTTAAAACATTTTTCAGTCAACATTTCTACTTACATGGATAGGAGTTGACAATATAGTGACATTTTCCCCAGAGCTTCCTCAACTATTAGAGCATCTAGATTACCTATAAAATATAATTTGGGAATATGTCTGAAAAATGAGTGATACAGCCATCCAGTATTGCACATTTACCGTAGTAAATAGATTCCAGAATGGAACTCCGAAGCAGACTTCTCATGTACTCTAATCTCATTTCAAGTTATAGAGCTGGACACTTAAAACAACTTTCTAAAACAGAGTTTTCTGATTCACAACCCAGAACGGTTTCTTGGGAATGGGGCATACAGGGGCTTGATTCATAATGTGATAGAAAGAACTTTGGGCTTGGAGTTCAAACACTGACTCTTGTTTCAGCACTAATAGCCTTTGCTAGCCATGAGACCTCAAGTCAGTTCACCTCTCTGAGCTCACTTTCTTCATCTCAAAAGTGAGTAATGGCCTACCTTCCACAACTAGGTCATGTTGAATTGGAGGGTGAACCAACGGCAAAGGAAGACCTTGCTCTCTGTCTCTCTTTCTCACTGTCCACTCTGCCTGCCAAAAAAAATAAATAAATAAATAAAAAATTTAAAAAAAAAGGAAATCAAATAAATTATTTAAAACCTTCTGGCTCTGTATTAGTTATGAAGGTCATAACCAATGGCAGTGAATGAGCTGTTATCCTGAACTCCCTGCCAGTTGTTTTACTGGTCTCCACCTTCCTAAAGAGTCTAGTTTAAGGCCGGTGCTGTGGCTCAATAGGCTGATCCTCCGCCTTGCGGCGCCGGCACATCGGGTTCTAGTCCCGGTCGGGGCACCGGATTCTGTCCCGGTTGCCCCTCTTCCAGGCCAGCTCTCTACTGTGGCCAGGGAATGCAGTGGAGGATGGCCCAAGTCCTTGGGCCCTGCACCCCATGGGAGACCAGGAGAAGTACCTGGCTCCTGCCTTCGGATCAGCGCGGTGCACCGGTCGCAGCGCACCGGCCGTGTCAGCCATTGGAGGGTGAACCAACGGCAAAGGAAGACCTTTCTCTCTGTCTCTCTCTCTCCCTGTCCACTCTACCTGTCAAAAAAAAAAAAAAAAAGAGTCTAGTTTAGAGACTCAGAGCCTAAGCATTTCAGTCAGCTTGTCTTATTAGCACACAAAGGAATAATTCACTTTAGTTTCTTATACAATCCATACATACACTTTCCTGTTGTGTAAATCTCCTTTGAAAAATGTTTTAAGTTCTTACTAATATTTATTTGTTTATATTTAATAATTTTAAACATGTTGCAATATTCACTTAATATATAAATATTATTAACATTAATCTACATATTTTTCTTGAAAATGGGGATATTGATATCACATAATGTAGGATTCATAACAAGGATCATAAAGTGAGGAATGAACAGTATGTTATTATGTAAGTAGTATAATTCAATGAAGAAAACTTTTATGTGAATGCCAAATAATATGGCATCTTTAATATGTATATGATACTTCCACATATGAGATAAAACAAATGGAATTTGTGTTTTTGTGTTTGGTTGATTTCACTTAGCATAATGATCTACCTCTATTCATTTTGTTGCAAATGTCATGGTTTCATTTTTTTTTTTTAAGATTTATTTATTTATTTGAAAGAGCTACACAGAGAGAAGGAGAGGCACAGAGAGAGAGAGAGAGAGAGAGAGATCTTCCAGCCGCTGATTCACTCCCCAGTTGGCCACAATGCCTGGAGCTGTGTCAGTCCGAAGCCAGGAACCAGGAGCTTCTTCTGGGACTCCCACTTGGGTGCAAGGGGCCCAAGGATTTGGGCCATCTTCTTCCTTTCCCAGGACATAGCAGAGAACTGGATCGGAAGTAGAGCAGCCAGGACTCAAACTGGCAGCCATATGGAATGCCGGCATTGCAGGCAGTGGCTTTACCCACTACACCACAGCGCTGGCCTCAGGGTTTCATTTTTTTCATGGCTAAGTAATATTCCATTGTACATATGTACTAAAATTTTCTTTTCAGTCAGTAATGGACATCTAGGTTGATTCCATCCCATGTGGGTGCAGGAGCCCAAGGACTCGGGCCATCTTCTATTGCTTTCCCAGGCCATAGAAGACAGCTGGATGGAAAGAGTAGCAGACAGGACAAGAACTGGTGCCCACATGAGATGCCAGTGCCACAGGTAGAGGCTTAGCCTGCTACACCACAGCACTGGCCTGGGATGATAGCCCTTCTAACTGGAGCGAGATGAAACCTCACTATGGTTTTTTTTTTATGCTTCCTTAATGGCTAGTGAGCCTGAGCTTTTTTTCATGTGTCTGTTGGCTGTTTTTATTTCTTCTTTTGAAAGATGTCTATGCCCATTTCTTAATTGGATTGTTATATTGTTGAATTTCTTGAACTCCTTGTGTAACATACAGAATATATAAGGAGCTAAAGAAATTGTTTTATTTTAAATTTTTTTTATTTTGAAGGAGTTTCAGAACAAATAAACTGCAAAAAATTGGTACAAATAGGCACTATATACCATCCTCTAAGCTTCCTCATTTTGACATCTTTTCTGACCACAGTATGATTATCAAAATCAGGAAATTGACATTTATACAAACCATTAATTAATCTAGAGGCCTTATTTAGACTTCACCAGTTATCATACTAATGTCCCTTTTCCTCCCAAGATCTAGTTTAGTATCCTGAATTGCATTTAGTTCTGCCATCTCTCTGGTTCGTAACATTTCCTTAGTCTCTCTTTGTCATAACCTTGACACTTTTGAAGAGCATTGGCGAGTTATTTTCTAGCATGTCCTTCAATCTGAGTTTGCCTGAAGTTTCCTTATCACTAAATTCAAGTTACATCTTTTGGGCAAGAACATCACAGAAGTAATTTTTTGCTCTTCTTAGTGCATAATACTAAGAAATTCTTCTTTAAATGTCCCTTCTATATTTAAAATATTACCTATATATGAAAGATTTATTAATGTGTTAATCTTACCTACTCTCATCAAGTTTTATTTCTCCACTAGCCTCCCGAATGTTGCCACATGAACATGCCACTATCATTTCAAACTTAGCATATCTAAAATTGAATTAATCTTATGACCATCAAAATCTTTGGGTCCAGTGCTGTGGCGCAGCAGGTTAAAGCCCTGGCCTGCATCACCAGCATCCCATATGGGCACCAGTTTGTGTCCTGGCTGCTCCACTTCTGATCCAGATTCCGCTAATATATCTGGGAAAGCAGAAGATGACCCAAGTCCTAGAGCCAAGACCCTGCACCCACGTGGGAGACCTGGAAGAAGATACTGGCTCTTGGCTTTGTATCGGCTCAGCTAGCACTGTTGCAGCCATTTGGGGAGTAAACCAGCAGATGGAAGACTCTCTCTCTCTCTCTCTCTCTCTCTCTCTGT